AATGGGGATGAACATGCAATTGAAAAATGATATTCATTACAGAGAATCATCGGTACTATTCCTATCTAGCTGTGCTATCAATTTTATAAAAATAATTGATATGGTATGAAACTTTGATTCAGAGCGTTCCTTTGAATTACCACAGTTTCTTCATTGATCGTTTCACAGAAGGTTGTATTTCTTTTGCGAATGTTTTGCGGGCATAAGAATCAGATATAAGCGATGTAAAAAAATGTTAATTGGTAGATAAATTTTCTCTGATGATTGATATTGAATCACTTCTGTGGAGAAGAGCATTTTTTTGGAGGAGCCATTCAACTGGCGTCCTCCATTGTTGTAGTCCGCTTTGAAAAATTGTGAAGATTTTTTTTTTCACATTTATGTTCACGGAGAGAAACTCCAAAATTTATCTACTCATCGAAATTTGTCACTATTTTTCTAAATATAATATTCCAATCACTGTTCATTATGTAGTTAGAGATGTATTGAATTCTAGTCAACTGTATTTCCTACCGATCGGATGATGGGGACGTAGGGAACATACAGAGAGATTTGGACCACCATTTGTCTACTATGAGGACTTCACTCTATAGGTGTAATGTATACTAGGAAGCCTACACTGAGAGAAAAATCGTTATAATATCACAAAAATCATGTCTTGAGTGAAGAACATCGCATAAATATTGGATCAATGCACGATTGGTTTCTGACAAGAAATCGGTGGATTTTCGGTCTCTGGAATATGATATTGAATGAAGAAATGCTCTTCTGTCTCGAAGTGAGACAATATTCCTAAAAAGAAAAGGGAACTTTAACAGAAGGAAATGAAATCATTGTTTCCGTCCGAACTCATTGCGATTGAGAGTAAGCGACGGTGATATTTTGGAAATACCTGGAGGTTTTCTTTGGTGTGAATTTTGTTTTCATCCAATATGTAAGACTCTGATCCATGATTCATTAAATCAGAGCTTTTAGAATTTTTATTCGATTTCTCATCTTTTGACCCGAAAAATACGATTTCTTAAGGCAAGAAATTCTCACCTCTCGTGAAATGTTCATGTTCAAGTTATAAACACTTCACGGAGTTCTTAGATTATCCGACTCGATATGCGAATTTCTTATCCCAAGAAATTCATCCTTAAGAAATCAGATATGTGACACAAGAAATTATTTTTGTGATATTATGTCGATATTTCTCTCGGTGTATGAAGCTTGTCAACCCGATGAAGCCTATGGAAATTATGAACGGATTTCTTATGTATAATGTATATTTCCTAAGATCCGTTCAGATATCCATGACTCAGGGGATTGTGAATTGTAATAGAAACATTATCTGTCAATCAATATTGATTTACATGGGTGAATTCGCCAATTATTGGTATGGTTTTGTACCTCCAAAATTGTGATTTTATTGAGGCTTTTAATATGGTTTTCTTATCATTCAAAAGACCTAAAAAATTTTTTTTCAATTTTTTTCCAAATTCTTCACGCTCACTACGTCAATTTTCTTGTTTTTGTAGTTTTCACCTAAATTTTCTATTTCAGCAAGGGTAAATTTTTTTTATTACTTTCCGATATGTATTTCCAACGGAAATTTTACGTTCTTTCGATTGAGCATAGTTTCAATTAGCTCACACCATCAGAAATCCCCANAGCTTGTCAACCCGATGAAGCCTATGGAAATTATGAACGGATTTCTTATGTATAATGTATATTTCCTAAGATCCGTTCAGATATCCATGACTCAGGGGATTGTGAATTGTAATAGAAACATTATCTGTCAATCAATATTGATTTACATGGGTGAATTCGCCAATTATTGGTATGGTTTTGTACCTCCAAAATTGTGATTTTATTGAGGCTTTTAATATGGTTTTCTTATCATTCAAAAGACCTAAAAAATTTTTTTTCAATTTTTTTCCAGTTTCTTCACGCTCACTACGTCAATTTTCTTGTTTTTGTAGTTTTCACCTAAATTTTCTATTTCAGCAAGGGTAAATTTTTTTTATTACTTTCCGATATGTATTTCCAACGGAAATTTTACGTTCTTTCGATTGAGCATAGTTTCAATTAGCTCACACCATCAGAAATCCCCAAAAAACAGAAAAACAAGTTAAAATTGCGCTTTGTACCCCCTTCCGCAACCTTGTTGCAATTTTTTTTTCTTACTCAAAGTGACCTTTTCTACAAAACATACTAGAAAATTAAAGTGGGACTCCGATCCCTTCCATCCAACAATAATTTTTGGAAAAAAAAAATTCTTGGCAATTTTTCAATTTCTTCATTTTTTCATTTCAAATTCAATTATTTATAGATTGCCATGAAATAAAAGGAAGAAATTCAATAATTTTTGAATGAAAAATTTCCAAATTGAAAAACTGGAGATTTTTGTTTTTTTTTTCAAAAATTGTTCCTAAATAGAACGGATCGGAGTCCCACTTTGATTTTTTAGTATGTTTTGTAAAAAGAGTCACTTTGAGTAAGAAAAAAAATTTCGAAGGTACAAAATCATACCAATAATCGACGAATTCACCCACATCCATTACGTGAAAAATATTTATTGATAGATTTTGCATCCGATTCTCTTCGGAATGATTCTACGCAAGGAAATTCCAAGATCAATGAGTCACGGAAAACTCTCAATATTCTTCTACAAGTTTCAATCTAAGGTACCTGCATTCTTTACCGATCGGATGATATGAGGACTCACGGAACATACGGGGACAGTGGCATTCTACGGTATGTTCACTATGAGGCTCATAGTATACATGGATCATAGTATACATGGGCGTAATGTATACTATGAATCCTATGAACACTGTGAAGCTCATTGACCCTATAAAAGCCTATAAAGTCTATGAACGGATTTCTTCTGATTCGCCAAAATATCTTTGACCCAGGAGACTGTTAATTGTGATGAGAATATCATTCGTCCATCAATGTTGATTTACGTACATTACGAGGAAGATCTTTACTGATAGATTTCGCACTTGTTTCTGATTCCAAGATGCTTATTCTTTACATTGGATTCTACGCAAGGAAATGTCAAGATCAATGAGTCAAGCAAAACTCTCGATATTCTTTCGCATGTTTTAATTCGAGGTACCGGCATCTTTTACCGATCGTATGATATGGGAACGCGCAGAACATACGACGGCATTGGTATTCTACGGTATGTTCATTATGGGGATACAGGAAACATATGGAGACATTGAGATTTAAACATTCATCTATACTATGAGAACTTCACTCTGGGGTGTAATACTACGAAGCCTATGAATCCCATGAAGCTTATTAACCTTATGAAACCTATGGAGTTTATGAACGTATTTCCTATGATACGTCCAAATATGTATGACTCAGGGGATTGTTGATTGTGATAAAAATATTATCCTTCAATCAATATTGATTTATATACATTGGGAGGAAGATCTTCATTGATAGATTTCACACCTGGTTCTGATCGGAATGATCATTCGATTCAAATGATCTAAGATTCTTCTTCTGTACATTGAACTCTACGCTTAGGGTATTCCAAAATGGGTGAATCAAGGAAAATCCTCAATATTCTTCCGCACGTTTCAACACCATAAAGTGAATTTCGTTCTCCCCACTCTATGCTCGCTCAATGCGTAGTGCAATATCCCCACTGTGTGGGGCTCACTACGTCCTGCTACACTTTTCACCTTAGAGAGTTAATTTGAAGTACCTGTATTTTTTGTAGATTGGATGATATGGGGACGCACGGAACGTATGGGGACATTGACATTTTACGGTATGTTCATTATGAGGACACAGGGAACAGATGGAGACATTTGGATTTAACCATTAGTCTACTATGAGGACATTTCTCCATAGGCCTAATGGATACTATGAACCCTATGAAACCTATGAGGTTTATCAACTCTATTGAGCCTATGACGTTTACGAATAAACTTCCTATGGGCTGTTCAAATTGATATGACTCGGGGGACTGTCAATTGCAATAGGAATATTATTCGTCAATCAATATTGATTTCCATACATTGGGAGGACGTTCTTCATGGATAGATTTTACACCTGATTTCGTCCGGAATGAATGTTCGATTCAAATAATTCAAGATTCCTCTTCTTCTCATGGGGCTCTACGTAAGGAAACTCCAAGATCAGCCAGTCAAGGAGACTTTCAATATTCTCCTGCACGTCGTAACCCTATGAGATGAATTTCATTCTCCCCACTCTATGCTCGTTTAACGTATAACGCAGCGTTTCCACTTTGGGGGGCTAACTAAGTCTTACTATATTTTTCACCTTAGAGAGTTCCTTCGAGGTATCTATTCCTGTTACCGATGGGATGATATAGAGACGCACTGGATATTCGGAGACATTGGAATTCTACGGTATGTTCATTATGAGGACTCAGGAAAGATATGGGGACATTGGGATTTCATCATTCGTCTACTATGAGGACATCACTCCATGGGTGTGATGTATACTATGAACCCTATGCAGCCTATGAGGCTTATCATCCTTCTTATTATCATCCAACTTATTATTATCTGTTCAAATACGTATGATTCCGAGGATTGTTGATTGTGACAGAAATATTATTCTCCAATCAGTATCGCACAGGGGGGTCAAGCTCTCGTGTTATTCTCGTGGATACGATTTCGCCAGAATCGACCACTTGGAGCGCTGTAGATGAATGGTGGGGGTTAGCAGAGGCCCTCCATGTTTGTTATGAAGATATTCAAATTTGAAATCTAACCAAACAGCCCGTATATATATTCCGCAAAGAATTACAATTAATTAATCAATTGTGTGTTGTAAATTGGATGATGCAAGTCGAAAGAGCATTATTAATATTTGCTGAACCACTGAAACACGGTATGTGAGCTGCATAATTAAAAAATAGTCAGACAATGCAATGAATTTACTTCAGAAGAAGCAATAATAATAAAAGTCTGCACTGCTTGTCATAAATTAGTTAATTAGACGAGCTCCTTCAGAATTTAGCAGATTAGCTTTCTTGATAATTCAACATATAAATTTTTCGTTTCAATTAGACTTCAATGTTATAATTTTTTGTCTTTTTAGTGTAGGACAATCATGCGCGTGTGTGTCATACCTGGATGCACAGCAAATGCAATACGTTTTTTTCGATTTCCAAATAAGGATGACAAACGTTTGCGCATTTGGTTGTCTTTGGCAGGGAACGAGGATTTATTAAAACTTGGAATTGATGAGATAGGAAGAAGAACAATTTGTCAAGTTCATTTCGAAGACAAATATTTCCTCCCCAAGAAATTGAGTACTAGTGCTATTCCAACAAGGTATTTGCCAGGTATGCGCCGTCGATTTTGTCGAAAATGTTGAAGTATTTTTTTTGTGAATAATATATCATGACTGTTATAATTTCATTCGCAGAAAGTATCGATGTATCTAGTCTCTTTTTTGAAGAAAAATCTCCCCCCACTGAACAAATTATCAACTTTGATCCGTAAGACTGGCCCACATCTGCGGAAGGTATGTGTTAGCTACCATGATCGCAAAAGATTGGGATACATTATCATCAGTACAATTATGAAAAACTTGGTGTGCCAGTTATCGCGATCTCCCCTTATCAACAACTGTTAATTTTTTTAGTTTCCGAAAAAGACAAAATCCCAGGAAGCACTTGATGCAGATGTGTTTTCAAAGAAGCTGCAAATTCCGAATGAATCCCCAACCAATGGAAGCAAAAATTGTGTGGGGATGATTTCGGAAAGCCTCAACATAATGAAGGAAATGCACATCCATCAGGTATTTTTTATTCATGTTTCTTCATCTCAAGAAATGATTTGTTGTATGGTTATACTTTTACTTTATAGCTGCTGTCAAGAGGAAATCCATAGAAGAGCAAGGACTCTCTGGACCAAGCAGGGGTAGACCTGATAAAAAACACAGAAAAATTAGAAAACGTGGCATATTACGCAAGGGAAGAGGTAAAATCAATGCTCATGGCCTCTATATTGAAAAAATCATAAATTCTCAGATGCTTCATATGAAAGCTTCTGCAGAGAAAAACAAATGTATTATGGAGGAGCCGACGATAAAAATTCGGTCTGCTTTACACTATTTTATGAGAAATGGAAGAGGCCCTGTGCGATTGACCATATCGAGCACAGGAAACAAAATTTTTTCGCGTGAATTTGGTGTACCTGCGTATATCACATTGAATTTTGTTTATGACATGAATATTGACTGGGTCTACTTCAGGCGGAATTCTTCCATTCTATAATTAATAGATAGAATTAAATAAAAATCCTGAGATGTACTCTTAGTTTAAATGATAAAAGTGATTTTTTTTCCTGGAGGTAATATTCCCATTCTCATTCCCCTTCCTTCCGATTCTTTATCAAAATTTTAGGTGATGAAGGATATTTTGCTTTTTGCAAATATAGTATGAGAGTTTCGGTAAGTTATTTTCTAGGTTGAAGAATTTTTTAATTAAGAAAAAGCAAATGTTTACTCAATTCTTTACATTTTAGTATAGGGAATAGAGGTACTTAAAACATTAAAAAGCAGATATAATTGAGTCCAAAAATTAATAGACTGGTGAGGCAATTGCAAATACTAATTTGACAAAACTGCCTGTGCAGTTACGGTAATTATGCGTTATCTTAGTTCTTGTAATTGACGAAGTAATGGTAAGGATATTTCAAATTTACGTAACGGTTGAAGTAATCTAATAAGCATGAGAAACAATAACACTGTATGTATTGAATGCTATGGGACTTGTGGGACTTGTATGCTTTCATGTCCCAGTTTATTGGTGCTTATCAATAAATAGTAGGTATATTAGTGACGTCATTACAACGTAAGAAAGGCAAAAACCTGGATTGAATGCAATTAATATTGATAGATTTGTTCGAAAAATTGAGGGAATTCCAGTTTTTTTAATGTATCGTAAAAGTCTCGGCCAATTTGTTCAATAAAAATTATTATCAAGTGACATTCTCTTCGAAAATTCGGTGAATTTTATCATTGAACTTTCACAATTTGAGGGATAAATGAATGAAAACTCTCAGTTTCGGTTTAATTATTCAGTAAAAAAATCATCGGATATCAGAAATTAACATATGAGTAACTCATGGTATATATTTTCTTACATTTTCAATTGATTGGAATTGAAATTCCACTTCATTAATTTTCAATCAATTGAAATGGATTTCACTCTAAAAAGGCCGATCTTAAATTCAGACTGCGGTCGTAAAAATTAGGACATTTCGATCTTAAAATAGAGACCGATCTTACGATTTCGGACATTTCGGTCTGATTTTAAGATCGGACTTCTTAGAGTGTCGCAACTCAACAATCATAGCTAAATTAAAATTCAGAATAATTTGGAAAATTCTCATTTTTCTCTTTAAAAACATGTGAAATTCCTGAATTTTTTCTTGCTGCAATCAAACTGGGTGTCTTTCCGTGCAATTGCTATTCATTTCTCATGGGATTCTCACTTTTTTCATCATCAAATCCTTTTTTGTCATTTGAACTCGAATAATTTCATTCTTATTATTGGCTTGGGAATGGTTCAATGATTTAGCCAATCTATACAATTTGTATAGAACTGCGCACAAGACAAGGCGAGACGAGATTTAATAATAATTCTTTTCAGTGATATATAATCATATAATAGTTTTTTAAATTGTTTGCCGTAAGAAGGACGGTGGCGACATACATTTATTATAAATATAAATGTAATAATAATGAAAATGCAGATAATAATGAGAATACCAATAATGAGTCAAAATATTCAGTGCAAGAATTATTTTAAAAATAATAATTCTTTTCAGTGATATATAATCATATAACAGTTCGCGAAGTCTCGTCTCGGTCTCGGGAGAAAACGAAAAAGTCCAGTTTCGCCTCGTTTTTTTTCGGGTTTGTATTAATTTTCGCTGGTCTCTTTTTTTCCAGCGGCCTCGTCTCGGTCTCGTGCGCAACTCTGAATTAGTACTTTCCTGTCGATTTTCGTACCATACTTGAAATTACTTCTTGATAATTTTCAGAACCACTTCGTGTTCTCGGTCGCACTAGAATGAAGGATTTGACGGAGTCTGAACGATCGGTCTTTGCCCAAGTTACCTCACTGAAGAGAGCGTTGGCTTATCAAAAGAAACTGAATGCATCTTTGATAAGCCAACTCTCGAAATTCAAGTCGTCTCTAGATGTAGAGTTGGAAGGAAAAATTTGAGAATTATCAGACGTTGCTCGAAATTTTATCCTCAGTAATTTGAGGAATGTCTCTCGGAATAAGTATGCGAGAAATTATAGTAGAGCCGATAAAATTTTTGCATTATCCATATGGAAAAGAAGCCCGAAAACCTACGAATTTCTGCAAAATGTGTTCTGCCTTCCAAGTGTGGAAATTCTACGCCAAGTGATACGCAAGATTCCCTTAGAACCTGGCGTGCATCCATTCGTTTTCCAAGCATTCTCCCACTCAATAGGATCTCTGAAGAGTGGATCGCGTGATTGTGTCATGATGATGGATGAGACTTCGCTGGAGGCATTTTTAAAATATAATTCGGGAAATGATAACATTACGGGATTTGTTGACAACGGATATCAACGAAAACCTGTAATTGCCGGTCATACACAAGTCTGGATTCTCAAAAGCGTCACGGGGGAATGGAAACAACCAGTTTCTTATTCGTTTAGCAGTGCTACTGCTGAAGCTGATGAGATTGTTCAGACATATGTAGCTATTGTACGAGAAGCCACAAAAGCCAACCTTAATATAATAGCTTCTGTATGCGATCAGGGATCCACAAATGTCAAGGCCATCTCCATTCTCCAAGAAAAAAGTCAAACCACAAAATTAAAACATAAATTTCAAACGACCGACCCCATCATTGTGATAGATGAGCAAATTATCGTTCCTTTATTTGACTCACCTCATCTCATCAAATGTTTACGCAATAATTTTCTAACAAAAGACGTATCCTTTGAAATAATTAACAGCAAAAATCAAGTAGACAAAAAAATAGCTAAATGGGAACATATCATAACAGCTTATGAAATCGATAAAAGTCGCGGTATACACAAGAAAATGCCTAAATTAAGTGACGAGCATGTTTATATAGAGAAAATGAAAAAAATGAAAGTTGATCTCAGTACGCAAGTGTTTAGTAACAATGTGTCATCTAATATGTTCCTCATGGCTCATATGGAGACTAAACATTTGACCAATGGTGCCACACTCCCCCTTGAAGCAACTGATACTGCCCATTTCCTTTCATTCGTAAATGATTTGTTTGACTCGGTGAATGGGGTAAAGTCAGCTAATTGGGCAATTTCAATAGCATCAACTGATGAAGAATGGAATAGATTCATAAGATTTCTGAGATCGATTGAGTTTATTCCAAGGAAGTCAGGGGATCGAAAGAAACCCATATGTCTAGTCAATTGGATTATTACAATTGAAGGTTTGAAGCACTTGAAGAAAATTTTGAGAGACTTAGGCTACGATTATTTTCTCCTGCGAGCTTTCAATCAAGACGCTCTTGAAAATTTCTTTGGGCAAATAAAACAAATAGGTTTCCGCAATAATAAGCCTACACCAACTACGTTCATTGGCCACTATAAAAGTCTGTTATTACAAAACTGCACCCAACACACGTCTAAATTCAATTGTGAAGTAGATGAGACTCCAAATTATATCGTAGATTTTGAATTTCTTTTGAATTGTGATAAAAACAATCTTGCAAGTGACACAAGTATCCCTTTTAATATTGCAAAATTTCCGTACATAATCAAGGTGGGAACAAAGTATTTTGGAATTAACACTCAGGATTTCGCTATGAAAATTGTAAAATTAGGCCATCCATGTTGTCAACAATTTATCCTTCGTCAAGTTGAGAATTCTACCCCTGGCATTACTCAAGACTTTCACAAACTCACTGATACTCTCTTAAAAATCATCCCTAGCTACATCTCTCAATACATTCATTTAAATAAATTCACTGTTGAAATCACTTCCAAAATTTTAGGCCAATTAGAATCTGTTAATTATGATTTCATCGTTTGTGAGCATCGGACTGAGCTCATCAACATTGTAATTCAAAATCTTATCAGGGACACCACTGTGCAGTACATCAAACAGATTGATAGGATATTATCAGGGAAAGAATGTATACCATTGGGTGAACAAGACACTTTAATGTTGCAAGCTCATAAGATCCACAACAATAACAGAGGTTCTAAGAGGGCGGGAAGGGAATTGAAGCTGTGATGAACCAAGTGATCTCATGTGATTTAATCATTTGTTATCGTTTATTTATCTATCATTTATTATTTGTTATCGTTTATTTATTTATCATTTATCATTTGTTATCGTTTGATTTATTAATTGTAAATTTTTGACATACTTCGAAAAAAATCCAATCTGATAACCAACAATTATTCATTCATTTTCATTCAATGTAGTTTTGTTTAATTTCAATTTTCTCTGTTTTGTTCCATACGAATTAATTAATTATCCGTTAATTTGTTTTTGAATTACCTGGTGCATGCATGAGCGACGCTATGCACATCATCTCCGTGGGCTTTTGTGTCTCCTCGTGCCATCCTGGTGGAGGAGGGGGCAGTAGCGGCATGCCGGTTGGTTTTTGTTTTTTCTAATCTCGAGTAACCCTGACGATTTTGGCATATTTTGCCTTTTCTCCGGAATCTCTTAGCACTTAATAATTCACTTATAATCAACTTTTCAACTGGAAACTCCTTTCTGCCGCAGGTAAGAATGCCAATAGTTCAGATAATTGTCATTAACAATAAAAATCAATAATGAAACAGCAGCGCATCATATCGAATTATTCTCAATTAGTTATTTCTTTCGCCAATTCTACTCAAAACAAAAAGTAATGTCTTCTCCTTTTATTTTTTCGGAATCCATAAAAATCCAGTGAATAAATTTGAAGAATCGTGTTTTTGGAAACCTTAATTTTTATTGAAAAAAAATGATGAAAAATTCAAAAAAGTAATTTTAATAAGAGCAGTATCACGCCAATTCCGAAGTCCCAAAAATTCGACGTCAAGGATTGCCTTGCTGATTTTTTTTGGGAAAGATAGGCATCAGACGAACATTTTCAAAACAAAACAAATAAGTCAAAATTATTAATAATTCCAGCACTAATGATTTTTTGAAAATTGAGTGTTTTTTTGTGATAATTTCTTTTTGCAAATTTTTATCAATATTCCAAGGCTCA